ATGCTCACAACATAACATTTCTGAAGATTCCAAATGCGTATTAGGTAAACCTCACTTTTAATCATAAACAATGAATCAAACTTAATTTTTTTCACATTAATTAACTCTGTTTATGAAAAAAGTCATCTAAAGCTATTGAACCTTACAATGAAAAAAAGATCATTGTAAACTTTTTACACAACAAATAATTGAAATTTACCAATAAAAATACTTTCTGCCGTTTATTTTTCGAAAACTAATTCCATTTTTAGTACTTTGTACAGAAAGTAATTTTTTCATGAGAGCAGCCGTATTGAATTAGCGCAAAGCTCGATAATGAACTAGCTAGCACTCCGAGCTTACCAATTTCGCTAAACATGACGTCACATAGCTCTAAAGTAAACGCCAATGAGCGTGGCACTCGGACGAAAATATACAGGCTGAGCGTGCTGATAGTAAAATTAGCTCAGAAGTAAACGCACCCATAGTACACAGCCATCAGTGTCAAACAAGTGCAACTCACAAAACTCAACATAATAAAATAATAGGTTTATGGCATTACAAAATTCTATTAATAGTATCATATCTTACGTTTTTGAGGGGAATAACATTAACATTTTGGTGTGTTGTGTTGAGTCATGTCAAGTCATAGGTGTGCCGCAAGTAGGAAAAGGTTGTGGAACACTAATCTAAACTAACCGAAGTGCCGCCATTTTAGTTACCTAGGTATACATTAACCCTAAAACAGTGTAAGGTAAGCTAATACCACTCAAATATAGAAAATCACTGAAACAATTTCATATTTTACAACAGAGAAAAGCATACAAAGATTAAGCTAAGTGCCAGATTCATTTAAATTCCTAAGATTCATAACACAGCATGTTTCTTGTGCCAAAACAATAAACCAATCATTCTTAGGGTTCTTTGTAATAGATTCTGCTATAGAGACAGAATGTAGATTCTGGATTTAATTGTGATTTTCAAAACTAGCACAAGTTATTTTAATATAAATGACAGATATAAGTAGGTAAATAGATAAATTTATTGTCTTTTTACACTTTTATAATTGGGGTTTAAGAACAATAAAAATAACAAAATTACAGCAAACATTATTGCTGATGTTAATACATATCAATAACACCATTATTACAAAATTAACAGCGTGAAACACTAATTTGCACTTAGTACAAGACATCAAAATTTGCTTTCATAAATGATAGAGCATAAACATATGTCACAATATAAATAAGTAGCATTTTTAGGAATATTTACAAAATGATTTCTGAAATTTTGACTAGATTTAAATTTAACAATATTTGGGATAAATTTTATCTGTAATTTGCTCAATTACATTTACAAAGTAAATGTAAATGATTACATTTACATTTACAAAGTAAATGGCATACAAAACTATCTGCTATTTCTTTGCACAAATTACATTGATTGGAAAAATAATTTCAGTTATTTAGTTTCAAAAAAGAAGTAGATAATATTGTAGTTTACATTTGTAAAATAAAAATATGTTTCATCAAAATTACATTAAACTAATAGAGTTTCTAGGCAATCATTGTATGTTCTATTATTGTTGGAAGGACTGTAGTCAGTAACAAGCTGCAAGTACTTGCTACAAGCTACTAGTGTTATAAGTCTCATAGCCTGTAATTTTGTAATTTTTATGTAACAGGACCAGATTTCATCAGATCAAAATCTGGAAAGAATGGAGAATCTAATACAGTCTTATTTACATTGTGGAAAGAGACCAGTTTGGAGTTATCATGGGATGGTGCAGTATTATACAGTACTTAAGTGTTGTACTGAGCTTAATGTTCTTACAAGGGATGCCATTATTGCTAGAAAGTAGACAAGGTTATGGAACTCCATGCGAGATGTTTCTGGGGATCTGTGAATGAATATCTCATTTTTGTGGACATTAATACCCACATACACACAAAGTTCTGCTTGACAATAACTTTCTTGAAAGTGAAAATATTTGTTGTATGAAATGGCCAACAAGAATTCTAGACTTAAATCCTATAGAATATGTGAGATACTGTAGGGAGATGAGTTACATCTTATTAGTCTTTGCCAAGAATACACCAAGTGCTTCAAAATGCCCTTGTTAGATAACAGAGTTTATTCTTGACACAGCTAATAAAGAGCATTATAACCAGCAGAAACAATTACTGTTCATATGCAAGAGGCAACCACACAGTGTATTAATTATTTTCTGTGCAAAAAGATTTACAAGAATGCTTGTTTTTGGTTTGACATAATTAGATAATTTTTGCTTTTTAATTGCTTTGTTCCATTTGTATATTAAGTTTCACCTTGTTCTGATCACTAGTTTGAGATATGGTCCAAAGTAATGGTTATGCATAAATTTTTTTGAGTATAATTTTGCCTGTTTTTCTTAGAGAATGTTTAGATATTTAAAAAAAAATCTGGTTATTTCTAGTTTGTTTTCAGTTTACGTTAAAAAATATTTATCCTAAATAAACTATGAATTTAGCTATACTACATGAACCTAGTTGGTATGACTTGTGAGTTTATATAGTATCACTAAGTTCATAATTTAAAAATGAAATTGCTAAATTACTTTAACATATACATTTTTTCTTTATGAATTCAGTTGGTAAATGAGAAGAAACTACAAGAAACTGAGAATCTATTTTTAGATTTTGAAACTCCTGAAAAAGCAAGTAAAATGTAAGTTGATTAGTTCATTTTCTAAATATTTTATTTCTAGATATAGCTAAATATTTGTGAATGTTAATGTTCTTTTCATGCTGCATGAATGAATCAGGTATCCCTCATATAACACTGTAGTTACATTCCGAAAGTGTCATGTTATGCAAATCTGTGCTGTACGAAACAAAGTACTGGTGCAGAACATTGGGTTAGGTTGCAAAAGTTAATAAAAATATACTATTGTTTTTCATTACTAAGAGAAACATATTTACTATAGCAATCAATAATTTATTTCCAGTCACAATTAAAAGTACTGTATGACACTTTAATATTAATTTCAGTTAAACGAGGACATTTTCCTTTTATAAAGTATAATCATATTCTGATCTTATTTTTGTTGATCTTGATCAGAAATATCAGCAACATCTTCATTGTTTTTTTACTTTTATCGTGATTTTTTTATGGAAGACAAATTAAAAATATGTTGTTAATTGAAAATTTGTTTTAATGGGTTTCATTTTGATTAAAGTAAACCTGACAAAAGGCACAAAACAAATTGAAAAATTTCAACTCTAAAATCTGTTGGCAAATTTGAGACAACATGCATGCTTTCTTGAATAAAAAATTATTGAATAATGGAGTTTGCACTTAAAAATTGTAAAATTTTGTACAGAAGATTTCTAATCCATGTTAGAGTGAAACCATGTTGTACTAGGGATACCTGTATTTAATTTGTATGCATACAATAAGATTTATTTATTATAATTTCCTGTCTATAATCTGTGAGAGCAATTTTTGTTGATAAAAATCACATAATTTGCATAAGTGTTTGTCATTAATTATTTGCTTTCTTGGTGTATCAGCAATAAAATTATGCAGCTTATAAGGATATTTATACAGTGGGTGATCAATTAACGAACCTAATCCGTCCCAAGACTGTTCGTTAACGGATTATTGATTTACCATAGGTTTTTATGGGAATTTGATTAATTCGTTCTGGAGACCCCAAAAAAATAAAAAATATATACTTTCTTACTATGTTTATTTATATCTATATATATATATAAAAATGGACATGTATGTCCCTATATTTCACTTTTTCGCAAAAACTACACATCGCACGTGAATGGTGTTTGTATGTGGTAGTAGCCCCAAGTCTCTATTCGTGCATAGGGGTGGTTGCGTCTCGATAGCTATAAGGGTGCGGGAGATATGGGCTTGAAAGTGGTTGAAAGTGGCTTTCTATTTCGAATGTTTTGTTCGAATTTGTTCGAATTAAATTCGAACATAAAATTCGAATATTGGTTCGATTATAGAACGATTGTAAACGTTCCAGAAACGTTGAAAATAGTTCGTTTGACTAAACGTAAAAATTCTCTAATTAGTCTGGAAACGGGGGACCTAATTCTTGCATTCTGTGAAAACGGGTAAGATTGGTTATAATGTAATCATCTTAATCTTCACTATCGTTACTTTTTAAAAACCCAGCGAAGCAGGTCCTTGCAGCTAGATTCTAGATTACTTAGAAAAACAGTCTTTTATATGTAAAAAAAAACTATATTACATACAAATGTATGAACAAATAAAAACCCAGCGAAGCGGGTCCTTGCAAGCTAGTGTATTAATAAAAATACATATATACATAGTCTTGCATTTTTATTAGTCATGTTTTTCCATTTGTGGGGGTTAAAGAATCTGTCTAATGTCGATTGCTTTTCTCTCTTCTTCAAGATTTTTAAGAAATAATTAATAGCATTGTACTGTAATCGTAGAGATCCCTAAATTAGAAACCTCAACCTGGTTTGGATGTCATTCTAAGACCATCGTTCTGACATCATCCCACTTCTTCAAAAAAATGTTTAATACCAGATATCAACATTAATTCTCTTTTTCAGAAGAAAACATATCTCGCTGAGTTTCTCAGTGTTCTTCTGTTGTCAGATCTGTTTCAGGTTCCATTATGAGCTCTTCAANTTATCATCGTAAGTGAGATGTGTCCTGAGAAGACAGTGTTTTCAAACAATCAGTCTTAACCACATGACGATACAACAAAGAATCTCGCAAATTGCATCAGACATCGCATTAATCACTTGGAGGTTCGGCCCCCAGTCAATAAACTTAATCCTAATTTGGCCCTTCTTCAAAAAAGGTTGTGCATCCCTGGCTTACTGTAGACTTGTTCAAGCCATATTGCCCAGCAACATCAGACATATTCTGCCCACTCTCACCTTTCAAAAATAAAAACCAACGCAAGACTTAACGAGTGCTTGCCCAACATACTCATGAATTCTATGAAAATTGTTTCTGTCAGAAAAATAAAAGGCTGGAATTACGAGGGAGAATTTCAAAGTTTGGAGGAATACTATCTGATCAATATATACTGGGCTGAGTGTCAATGTTTACATCTCCCACACTCCAAAAAGTTTTGAATTGTTCTCTGAAGACAAGGGAAGACCAATCAGTATTCATTATTTTATGTTTCTTCTTATGTTTGTTCTGTGAGGTGTTCATTATTCAATCATGTGTTCATTGTCCAAACATAAAAATCTTTTGTGAAAGTGTTTGTTAACTGAACTGTTCATTAATCAATCACCCACTGTAGTTAAAAATGCATATTCTCAAATCTAAGAAAGAAATTAAACAATTTTTATTTTAAATAAAAATTTAAAATTTTCATTGCATCAATTTAATGGACTCTAATATAGGTTTCTCATTACTGTTCATAATATGGGTTTCTCATTACTGTTCATAAAATGAAACTTGCATTCTGTGGAGCTGCTTGTCTGGGATTATTATTCTAATCTCAAATTTATACTAATGTTAAAGTAAATTTAAAACAAATGTAGTAAAAATAAATTACAGAATTGAAGAACTAAATAGAGAAATTTGTAATATTCTGAAATATCCATTTTTAGTCATTGGAAGGCAATTATTTCTCGCAAAGTCAATTTTCCTTTATATGATCTTGTTTGCCTAAACTTATGCAAATTGTTTAAAATAAAATCAAGAAAATTACAATACTTCTTCATTATGATCGTTGGTATCTGAGCACAATTGTCTCCCTACCTGTTTCCATAAAGCAGTCATTGCATTTTGCAGTTTTGCAGACAACTGCAGCCACAATGACTAAAAGTTACAGAAGTAGCTTGGTAACACAATTGACATAGACACAACTTATTGACCAATAAAATTGTAGTAATAGTTGCAGTTACATTTGACATTTTCTGGTTAGAAAACTTAACTAAACAAAGCTATCCTTTATATCTTTTAAGAAAAAGAGAAAAAGGATAGCTTTTTCTCTTTTTCTTAAAATTTTAATGAAGAAATTCTACAGATATTCACGATGGTATTCATGATTATTGATCACTTATGTAATCATAATTCCAATTTGGTGTTCCAGTTTGTCACCATATTAAATAATCAAGATGACTTATAATAAACTCATACATATATACATCCTCTACAAATATAAGGATATTTGTAGAGGATGTATATATGTATGAGTTTTGGTTACATGATTTTCTGTAATTATTACAGAACATTTTTCACACTAGATGTTAGTTGGTATTGATAAAGGATACTAATTAAGTTTCTTCAAATGTGCAATACAATTTTCAATGTTTTTGGAGGTGATGTTTTTTCCTTGGGCAGTAGATCTGGTTTCAGTGTGCAGCATTCAGAAAAGAAAACTTTTTACTTCCAGTGCCAGCACTAAGCACACTGTGTTTAGACTGTTTCCATTAGTACAAAAATGTAGCTACTTTTGTGTGTTACCAATTTTGTTATGAAGAGAACAACTTTTATTTACTTCTGGATAAAGAATTATCTCAATTCAAAATGGTATGAATCATATAAATAATGTTATATAATAACTTTTTGGAATAATAGTGGATCTTGTAAGAGTTGCTTTTCCAATATTTTGAAACATTTGAAAACATGCACTAATCATTCAGTAATTGTTTTCTATAAACCTGTGCACTGAAAGAACTGGTACTAATATCCAAATTTATTTGCTAAACTCATCTAACAATAGTAAACACCCCATCACATTTTATCATGTCAAGATTATGTCTTGATGTGTAAAAATTGTTTCTGATTATACATAGCAGGTTGTAAACTGCACTATTGAAATGGAGTTTTAACACACAATCTACAGATATTATGCAGGAAAATATGGTTTTACTGCTATTGTAGCAAAAATTGTAAAATGAACCACCAGCCGATGTTACTGAAAATAAAATCTTTAATGAGATAATATAAAAACAAATTATAAAAATGTTTAAGCAAACAGTTTGCCTTCTTTAAGCAACGGAACAAGGATATGAAAAATTGTTGATCAAAAACTGTTCCATTACCTGAGGAAGCTTGAATAATCATGTGGAAATGTTTGCTTAAACAATTTTTTTGTGTTATCTCATTAAAGTTTTTATTTTTTAATAACATCAGCTCAGTTTATTTTACAATCTGTTCAGTTTCTGGTATACTCTTGCTATTTATAACTACTTGTATTAGTCTGCTGGCTGACCAAAGCAGCAAACACTTTTTCCTACTAGGTTCAGGTCCTATCTTCAGAGGTCCAGGTCAGATCTTCAGAAATTTTGCATACATGATCAGATCATCTATTCGTTTCATCTCATCATCCAAAACCACTACTTGCCTTGCTAAACCTGTAATTGGCCCAAATCAAAATGATTCTCTTATTTTGTCATGATATATGTTTTGCAAGAAGTAATTTTTTGATTCATTTTAAAGTTGAATTTGTTGGATAGCAGCATTTAAATTGACCAACGATTGAAGATGTTAATTTTGCGAATTTAATGACATTTTGAAATGTGTTAGCTTTGATTTGTCAAATGATCAATGTAATAATTTCTTAACATTGTAGAGATGCAATGTTTTTTAATATATAATTTGATAGTGAGTATGTCAAGAGATTTTCTGTTCAAAACTTTTTAACAGTACTGAATTAACACATTAATGTGTGTTGATATTGTCTTAACTTATTATGTATAATATAGTAATTTATCTAAAATTTTATTTTATTAGAGCTCTATCATTTGAAAAAAACTAAATAAATATATCGATATATAATTTTTTACAGCATTAAATTGAAACATTTTGAGAAATTTAATGATTATGCAGATGCCGCAGCAGGTGAGAAATAATTGAATGTCTTTATGATAAAGTAAAATGTTTACAAAGCAAAGTAAGTGCCTAATTATGTGTTTTTTTTTCTTTTTAATTCCTTTTAGCTGTTTCTGCCTTAATAGAAGGCAAGATGAGTAAACAGTTGAAGAAAATGTTGAAAAAAGTTGTAGTGAAAGAAGCTCAAGAGCAACTAGCTGTGGCAGATACTAAACTAGGAGGAATCATAAAGGTATTAACTATTGCAATATTTGTTGTTTCAAATTAAAATGATTCTAAATATATAGATACATAGTTCATAATTTATTATTTACCTTCAGAATACTCAACCACATTCGATATTAATACAAATTGTAAAAATTATCTACTCTGGTGGTCTGTACAGTTCGCCGAAACTGTTCAATTTTCCCCCCCACACTACCAAGAATTACTCAAGGTCAGGCATGCATGGTTAATCCTTTGAGGATTAACTTAACGTGTATGGCTGCCTTTAGGCAGATTGCCCAAGTGTTGCATTGCTGTAAACTTAACAGAACAAACAAAAAATAACAATAGGCTATTGCCTAAATTTACTGGGGCATTACAAAAAAGAGGAGACACTTTTAAGTGAATTATTATACTGAGAGTGTATATGTAAATATTACTCAACTTCAAAATTAATTAATGTCTTTAAGAACCCTTCAATATAAGCTTTTTGCTGTTTGGCAACAAACCTACATCACCGTTTTCATGAATCAAACACTTGTTTACATTTTTTTGAGGGTTACATTTCACCATTCATCTTTAAGTATTTTCCAAGCCCAGTCAGAGTTGTAGCATGTTGGTGGAAAAGTTGTTGTACAAGGAATTCAAAACTGAAGAGGTCTAAAGAGATGATGACCAGTGATTTAATCCTGTTCTTTTTTATATAATTGTACCTGTAGAAGTTTTAAGATGTTTGCAATACTCCTTACTTTTCTTTGCAGTGTGAGAAGAGGCTTTGTCATGATGGAACACAACTTTGTCCATCTCTCCTGGATATATACTAGGAATTTCTCTTTCTAAATATGGTTTCAGTACATTGCTGATTTAATAGTCAGCATTTACCTTAACTTTATTAAGGACTTTTATAAGAGGAAATGTTCTTTTCCAGTCATTCCTCTGATGATCATGAAACCTTTCTGACCAGCTTTTGTAGCATTTTTCCAATTAAGTTTTGGGAACATTTTGATCAGGAAAAGAGTAACAAATCTTCCAAACTCCATTGCAGTAGCTTAAGTAAAAATATGTTTCTTCCAATGTCACCATAAATTTTGATCTACCTGCCATCAGGTGTCATTTGTACAGTTTGTGAGCATTTGTCTTGTGATTCTGTTTGTGTTCTGCAGAAAGATGATGTACTTTAGTCTTCTATACTTTCATTGCTTTCAAATCCTAACGAATTATGTTTTGTACAGTCCTCTGTCAAGTTCCAATTTGCTTGGCAATGTTTCTGATGCTTGGAGGGTTTGGTGTAGACAGTAGTTTGCAGACCTCAATATTGGCTTTTCAGTGTGCAGGCACTTTTACATGGGCATGAATATCCCAATTTTTATGCCGCACCATTTTTTCAAATTTTTTATGCAAACAATTTTACGACATTGAAAAGAATTGTGGGTAATCACAAAAAAGATCTTGTGAATTTCAGTGTTACCAATTAAAAGATATAACATAGTAAAGTTGAGTAATATTTGAGTACACACCTTCGATAATAGCTGAAACTTGGTCTTGGTCATATGAAGTAAAACTTAAACAGTAAGGTAATGATTGCAGACATTTTGATTTATCCCAATCCAAGAACTTAAGAATAGTGTGTGAAATTGTCATGGTTATCATGTTTATTGCATATTATTGGTTTGTACAGTACATGTGAAAATATACAGTGTACAAAGTGGACAACAGTTAATTCCAGTTATTATGGATCATTTATAGAACATTGTTTGGAAACACTTCCTGGTCGGTTGGTTGATAGTGGGGAATGATATCAGTATTTGATTGGTCACTCTAACTCATCCTAAAGGTTGGTGGGTCTTGTAGCAACTAGTAAATCACCAGAAACTATTATAGGTGATGATTTTGAGTGATGTCTTGTCTCAGTAGTCAAACTAGTAAGCATTTCCAAATAGACCCTTAGTCAGTTGTATGGTATAAGCAATGTGAGTCAATGCAAGACCTACTAATCATTCTGCACAATAATGTTAAATGTCATGTGCCTGTCAAAGATAGAGTATTTTTTCCAAGTGAGGCTGGAAAGTACTGGAACATCTACTCATATGAAGACTTGTAATTTTGATTTGATTACAAAAGTCAAAGAAGCTGTACATGAAAAATGGCTCCATGATGGAGATGAGATCTTTTGAGCAGTAGGAGTGACATCTTGAAAAATAATTCAGCATGTGGAAAGCAAGGCATCTTCTGAGGATTTGTCAAAAAATTTTTAAATAATAGGGGAGAAAAAATTCCTGCATAACTGATTTATATAATAAAATTATATTTTTTGAAAAATTCTTTTGCCCTGACTTAATTGACAGCCCTCAAATCAAAGTTTAAATATACTTTCTAGTTTAATAAAATTGAAGACAAAACTGCCCAAAAAGGGATCACCATTTACTATTTGTGTTCCAGGACTATACACTTTTTCGGCGACTGACCTTTCTTTGTAGGCTGCTTGTTGCTGGAAAATTACAAAGCGTCCTTTTAAAAAACACAAAACACATCCAATTAAAATTATAAAAATTTCTGAAAAAGGAACTGGTGACATACTTTCTAGTCTTATAAATAAAAAATTCATATTTTTAACTTTCTTTTTATTTATTTTAATATTAAATTCAGTTATAATTCTTATAAAATTCCATATTTCTGTACCTAAAATATATAAATACAGAAACAGAAATTGATATCAAAATTTGATTCATCAGTTACATAAGAACTAGTAGCCTGGGACGCCCCCTAGTGGGCGTTATTTACAAATTTCCATGAGGCACGGTTTTTTTGACTTTTTTGTTCCTATCAGTATGCTGTACAGCTCTGTTAAAGTCCTAATGGTAAGATTTACTTACCGAATGAAGAGGTGGCAACCCCCCCAAACTAGCCCCTGTGCAAACAGTAAAGTCAAAGGAACCATACCCCTACTCGTGACCCTTCGCGAGATATAAGCCCCTGAAATAATAAATTCCTATTACAAATATACTGAATTATTTATATTGTTATATTGACCAAATAATAATTTATGGGCCAAATGAATAATAATAATTTATATTGTTAATTTAAATAATAATTAAAATTGTTAATTTGAATGTTTGAAATATGACACACGATAGGGGTGCCTCTAGTGTCTTATCAAACAGTTACACGGACAGACACCCGTTGAATGGGTTATATATATAGATATGTTGAATACATTGTCTTTGACTATCATAAGTTTAGTTTGAACAAAAGTTTTATTAACCATGAAATTATTCCTTACTTTAGTTTATGCTTTTAAAAGAATTGCAGGAGAAAATATATGTAACATATACTGCAGCTCTGAATTAGAATTGATATTTGAATATTAGGAATATTAGAGAGAACTTGTTAAAGTGTTACTATGTAATGAATTTAAAACTTATTCTTAATCTTTTATAATTAATTGATTGAACACTGAATTTTTTCTGTTTAAAATAGGATAAGTTGCATATAAACTGTGTTTCAAATACCAATGTTCAAGAATTAATGAGATGTATTAGATCACAAATGGATAGTTTAATTTCTGGTATACCAAGTAGTGAAATGGCAAAAATGACATTAGGTCTTGCTCACAGGTAAGTAAAAATTAATTTGATTCGATTTAAATAAAAATTAATTTTCATTTGAAACAATGTAGTTTTTTTGAAGTACAGTACACTCTTGTCAGTTTAAATTAATTATTGTATAGGGCAAGTCAGGTTAGAGGAATATAAAGCTAAGAGAATACAGACAAATACATACATTAGATGTTAATAATATAATGTATTTGGTATTTAAATTTATATTAAAAAATTAGTCGTTAAGGCGTTTAAAAAGTTCTTTTTCTATTGAAAGCAATGCTAGTGACAACGATATTTTCTCCAACTGAGTGATCCTTACAAATGTATGAATTCACTTCATGGTTGAAAAACTGCGCTNCTGACTTAATTGACAGCCCTCAAATCAAAGTTTAAATATACTTTCTAGTTTAATAAAATTGAAGACAAAACTGCCCAAAAAGGGATCACCATTTACTATTTGTGTTCCAGGACTATACACTTTTTCGGCGACTGACCTTTCTTTGTAGGCTGCTTGTTGCTGGAAAATTACAAAGCGTCCTTTTAAAAAACACAAAACACATCCAATTAAAATTATAAAAATTTCTGAAAAAGGAACTGGTGACATACTTTCTAGTCTTATAAATAAAAAATTCATATTTTTAACTTTCTTTTTATTTATTTTAATATTAAATTCAGTTATAATTCTTATAAAATTCCATATTTCTGTACCTAAAATATATAAATACAGAAACAGAAATTGATATCAAAATTTGATTCATCAGTTACATAAGAACTAGTAGCCTGGGACGCCCCCTAGTGGGCGTTATTTACAAATTTCCATGAGGCACGGTTTTTTTGACTTTTTTGTTCCTATCAGTATGCTGTACAGCTCTGTTAAAGTCCTAATGGTAAGATTTACTTACCGAATGAAGAGGTGGCAACCCCCCCAAACTAGCCCCTGTGCAAACAGTAAAGTCAAAGGAACCATACCCCTACTCGTGACCCTTCGCGAGATATAAGCCCCTGAAATAATAAATTCCTATTACAAATATACTGAATTATTTATATTGTTATATTGACCAAATAATAATTTATGGGCCAAATGAATAATAATAATTTATATTGTTAATTTAAATAATAATTAAAATTGTTAATTTGAATGTTTGAAATATGACACACGATAGGGGTGCCTCTAGTGTCTTATCAAACAGTTACACGGACAGACACCCGTTGAATGGGTTATATATATAGATATGTTGAATACATTGTCTTTGACTATCATAAGTTTAGTTTGAACAAAAGTTTTATTAACCATGAAATTATTCCTTACTTTAGTTTATGCTTTTAAAAGAATTGCAGGAGAAAATATATGTAACATATACTGCAGCTCTGAATTAGAATTGATATTTGAATATTAGGAATATTAGAGAGAACTTGTTAAAGTGTTACTATGTAATGAATTTAAAACTTATTCTTAATCTTTTATAATTAATTGATTGAACACTGAATTTTTTCTGTTTAAAATAGGATAAGTTGCATATAAACTGTGTTTCAAATACCAATGTTCAAGAATTAATGAGATGTATTAGATCACAAATGGATAGTTTAATTTCTGGTATACCAAGTAGTGAAATGGCAAAAATGACATTAGGTCTTGCTCACAGGTAAGTAAAAATTAATTTGATTCGATTTAAATAAAAATTAATTTTCATTTGAAACAATGTAGTTTTTTTGAAGTACAGTACACTCTTGTCAGTTTAAATTAATTATTGTATAGGGCAAGTCAGGTTAGAGGAATATAAAGCTAAGAGAATACAGACAAATACATACATTAGATGTTAATAATATAATGTATTTGGTATTTAAATTTATATTAAAATATGTAGTGTACATTAATTTTATAGATTTGTCATATTTAAAAAATAATAATTTGATTTTTTGAATATTTATGGAAAGAAAATGAAATGGGTTCAGATTAAGCAGTTTAGATTAGTGAGAGTGTATGGTATATTATTTTCAATGATTAAAATATTACATACTGAAATTCTTGATGTTAATTTCTCGTCACTACCTCTGAGAATTATATTCAAAAATTTATTTTTCTAAAAAGAATAGTTTGTAAACTGAAATATTTCTTTTTTGTTTTATTTTATGTACAGCTTGGCTCGATACAAATTGAAATTCAGTCCCGATAAAGTTGACACAATGATCATTCAAGCTATTTGTAAGTATTTTTAACTATAATACAAATAATAATAAATTATTAATAAAGTAATTTATTTCGAATGAAAGTGCTGGACTCTTAAACAGAAAAAAGCACAAGGTAGTTTTTTAATAGTTATTTTAGAATGGAAAATTATTGTTTTAGTAATAGGTTACAATAGAATTTTTTAATTGTTTAAAGGACTTTAATTTGTATACAAAATTTATTAAAAGTGGTTATTTCAATTAAAATGTTTAAATAAATTCTAATAAATGTTAATAATCTAACAGTTAAATAAAAAGTAGAGTGCATGAAATTCTCCTTGTGTAATTTTAGACTTCATATATATACAGATATCTACAAAAAACAACCAATATTACATTTAATAATAATTTTTTAAAAGGTTTTTTACATATAAATAAAAGCAAATTATTTAGATAATGTGTTATTTTATCTAAAAACAGCTTGTGTCTGCTTTATATTCCAGCTCTTTTGGATGACCTTGACAAGGAACTTAATAATTATATTATGAGATGTAAGGAATGGTATGGTTGGCATTTTCCAGAATTGTCAAAAATTATTACAGATAATACAGTTTACGTTCTAGCCGTTAAAGCTATAGGTAAGTTAAATTATGAAAACTGGTTATATAAATTTATATCTTTCTTTTTTAAAGTTACTAATTAAAATTTTCGTCTGTGTTGTTGTAATTAATAATTAATTTTTCAAATCCTTTTTTAGGTTTGAGAACTAATGCTGCAGGGTGTGACCTCTCAGATATTCTCAGCTCAGATCTTGAACAGAAAGTCAAAGAGATGGCTGAAATATCTATGGGAACAGAAATTTCAGATGATGATATGAAGAATATAATTCATCTGTGCAATGAGGTTAGTAAATATTAAAATTTGTTATATTTGTCTAATTTAAAAATATAAGAAATATTGAATTTTATTTTGATTATGTAATATATATGGAAAGTATGGAATCATTATTATTGACCTGCAATAACATGTGCTTATTTTTTTGACATGTATACATGCACAGTGATTTTTGTTGATTTTTTTCACATAATTATACTGCTTATAGTTGCTGTTATTCAAATTTGACAATTTTGAAAAATCCTGTGATTTGTCTTCTCTGCACATGCAAAATTTTAACATCATATTGTTTAGTTTATAAAATACAAATAATTTTCTTGATCCTTCTCCTCTGGAGAGCTCTTCAAACTTTGAAATGGCTTGGGCTAATGTGAAACTTCAGCTGGATGATAAATAAATGGAAGGACTGGAAAGTGATTTTTCTGTATTTTTTTTGCATAAAGTAAACCTGCAAATATGTTAAAATTGTTGGTCATGGGTCCTAACATCTTATTAGTGTTTGAGGTCCTAATGAGTTGCAAACTGTTGTGTCATTATACCATGCTTAGCTGACAAGCATCCATGATATCATGATTGCCATAAATGATGTCTTTATCATGATATTATGATTGTCATAAATGTTGTCTTTGAGGCATCATGATGGAAATCATGATGCCTCAAAGACATCATTAAAAATGACACAGAACAGAAAATCGCTGTATTATACGTGAAATCTTTTGATAAAAATGAAAAATTGTATACAATCACAAGCATAAAACAGTTTTTTTAAGACCTGTGATAAGCAGAAAAATTTTTCAACTGAATATTTTACACAGATGGATAGCTTAAGGATACATATTTGGCTGTAAGGAAGTACAGCCGAGTTATTTATTTATGTTGTTGTTGTTGTTGTTAATAATTAATTCATGAAAATAGCTTTCTGTGTAAGTAGCCATATTCCATTTGCTTAATAAATTACATCAGTTATATGGCATTTGGCATATTTTACAGAAATTATAATCTCAGATAATTCAAAGTTTCAAATATTTCATCTCTTGAATTTTGAACTAACAAGGATTTCCTGTAGTTGATTAACTGAGTCCTTTGTCTCAGTGATTTCAATTACTGAGGCAAAGGACTCAGTTAAACAATTTTCAAAATAAAAATGGGATTTAAATAAAATTAATCTTACAAATTTTTATAATTTTTCAATTTATGTACTATAATTTTTATGCAAGATACTAGAGTTTCTGTACAAACCTTTGGTTGATTAAAATGTATTATTATTATTAACTGAATAGTAAATTCAGTTCTTTTTTTTATGTACAGTACATTAAATAATAAGGTTTAATAATAATTGTGTTTATATAATTAATTTAATTAAAGGCATAATGAAAGAGATTGGAGAAAAGTTGATAGATTTGGAAGGATTATAATTATTTACATGGTTCCTACACACCTGGAAAATCAGGGAAAGTCAGGGATTTTCATTAGTGTTCGGAAAAAGTCATGGAAAGTCAGGGAATTTGTCTCCTTAACTGCATTGTTGATCTCGTTTGCTGAATATGGATGACCAATCATAGCCATCTGCAGGTGGCAAGAAGTAATGCTGCAATCTTTAATAAGAAAATACACCAGAATCCATTTTGAAATGGCTTTTTTCACTGTTCTGAAGCCATATAAGTTTACAGTTGTGGAATAATAACAGGATAAACTACTTTAATAATGTTTAATTTTTAATTTTAATAATTCAGCGATTATAAAAAGATGAAATTGTTTATTAGAATAAAAAATAACTAATTAAAAATTTGTTTGAAAACTTTTAAAAGTTGAAATCGTAATTTATTAGAATGTTTGCTTCAAAATAGCTAAATAGATCAGTAAAAATCTGTAATTTAATCGTTTTTTATGTTTAAAACATTACTACACAACATAAAAAATTATAGTTACTCAACGTTTACAACGTTTACAATTATAGTTACTCAACGTTGGTGCTGACTTGTTGTTGGCACAAACTTTTTATACTTGTTGTTACGATTTTCCTTGAAAGTACTGTACTGCAAGCGTATTTTTTTCCGCAACATTGATACATAGTTTAATAATTGGTTTAACTGAAATGACGTTGGGTAACAAATATCACTGATTTTGGCAAATTTAGGAATTAAAAACTGGCAAGATTGATCATACTTGTAATAAATATTCTGTAGTTATATTTTCGAAAATCAGCAGGTAATCTGATAATTTAACTAATGTTAACCTGCTTATAATTAAAATTTAAAAATTAAAAAGCTGGTAAATTTTTAAAAAATTAATTACATTACTAAAAAAATAAAATAAATTTGATTATCTTTTGTGTGAAACAACACCAAAACAATTTTTATAGTTATGTTGCAAAAGAAAGAGATTTGTAGTTACGATTCTCTGTGCTGAACTTCTATATTTTAATAATGTATAATTGTAATTTCATTTTCAAATCCTTTTTTAGGTTTGAGAACTAATGCTGCAGGGTGTGACCTCTCAGATATTCTCAGCTCAGATCTTGAACAGAAAGTCAAAGAGATGGCTGAAATATCTATGGGAACAGAAATTTCAGATGATGATATGAAGAATATAATTCATCTGTGCAATGAGGTTAGTAAATATTAAAATTTGTTATATTTGTCTAATTTAAAAATATAAGAAATATTGAATTTTATTTTGATTATGTAATATATATGGAAAGTATGGAATCATTATTATTGACCTGCAATAACATGTGCTTATTTTTTTGACATGTATACATGCACAGTGATTTTTGTTGATTTTTTTCACATAATTATACTGCTTATAGTTGCTGTTATTCAAATTTGACAATTTTGAAAAATCCTGTGATTTGTCTTCTCTGCACATGCAAAATTTTAACATCATATTGTTTAGTTTATAAAATACAAATAATTTTCTTGATCCTTCTCCTCTGGAGAGCTCTTCAAACTTTGAAATGGCTTGGGCTAATGTGAAACTTCAGCTGGATGATAAATAAATGGAAGGACTGGAAAGTGATTTTTCTGTATTTTTTTTGCATAAAGTAAACCTGCAAATATGTTAAAATTGTTGGTCATGGGTCCTAACATCTTATTAGTGTTTGAGGTCCTAATGAGTTGCAAACTGTTGTGTCATTATACCATGCTTAGCTGACAAGCATCCATGATATCATGATTGCCATAAATGATGTCTTTATCATGATATTATGATTGTCATAAATGTTGTCTTTGAGGCATCATGATGGAAATCATGATGCCTCAAAGACATCATTAAAAATGACACAGAACAGAAAATCGCTGTATTATACGTGAAATCTTTTGATAAAAATGAAAAATTGTATACAATCACAAGCATAAAACAGTTTTTTTAAGACCTTTGATAAGCAGAAAAATTTTTCAACTGAATATTTTACACAGATGGATAGCTTAAGGATACATATTTGGCTGTAAGGAAGTACAGCCGAGTTATTTATTTATGTTGTTGTTGTTGTTGTTAATAATTAATTCATGAAAATAGCTTTCTGTGTAAGTAGCCATATTCCATTTGCTTAATAAATTACATCAGTTATATGGCATTTGGCATATTTTACAGAAATTATAATCTCAGATAATTCAAAGTTTCAAATATTTCATCTCTTGAATTTTGAACTAACAAGGATTTCCTGTAGTTGATTAACTGAGTCCTTTGTCTCAGTGATTTCAATTACTGAGGCAAAGGACTCAGTTAAACAATTTTCAAAATAAAAATGGGATTTAAATAAAATTAATCTTACAAATTTTTATAATTTTTCAATTTATGTACTATAATTTTTATGCAAGATACTAGAGTTTCTGTACAAACCTTTGGTTGATTAAAATGTATTATTATTATTAACTGAATAGTAAATTCAGTTCTTTTTTTTATGTACAGTACATTAAATAATAAGGTTTAATAATAATTGTGTTTATATAATTAATTTAATTAAAGGCATAATGAAAGAGATTGGAGAAAAGTTGATAGATTTGGAAGGATTATAATTGTTTACATGGTTCCTACACACCTGGAAAATCAGGGAAAGTCAGGGATTTTCATTAGTGTTCGGAAAAAGTCATGGAAAGTCAGGGAATTTGTCTCCTTAACTGCATTGTTGATCTCGTTTGCTGAATATGGATGACCAATCATAGCCATCTGCAGGTGGCAAGAAGTAATGCTGCAATCTTTAATAAGAAAATACACCAGAATCCATTTTGAAATGGCTTTTTTCACCGTTCTGAAGCCATATAATTTTACAGTTGTGGATTAATAACAGGATAAACTACTTTTATGTAATAGTGTTTAATTTTTAATTTTAATAATTCAGCGATTATAAAAAGATGAAATTGTTTATTAGAATAAAAAATAACTAATTAAAAATTTGTTTGCAAACTTTTAAAAGTTGAAATCGTAATTTATTAGAATGTTCATTTCAAAATAGCTAAATAGATCAGTAAAAGTCTGTAATTTAATCGTTTTTCACGTTTAAAACATTACTACACAGCATAAAAAATTATAAATAGTTACCCGACGTTTACAGTAAAATACTGGCGCTGACTTGTTGTTGGCACAAGCTTTTTATATTTGTTGTTACGATTTTCCTTGAATGTACTGTACTGCAAGCATATTTTCCCTCTCTCTTCC